CCTTCCTCTCTGTAAAAAATCAATAAAATATATTTTTTTTAAAAAAGAAAGAAATTAAATGGACTGAGGGACCTGAGGAGTGATTTTGTTGTGCCCTAAGCATCAGGCCTAAGAAAGAGAATGTTGCTGACTCTTATGGACTGAATGCTTATGTTCCCCTCAAATTCATAAGTTGAAACCTAATCTCTGATGTGATGGTATTTGGAGATGGGGTCTTTCGGAGGTAATTTGGGTGGGAACCTCCTGATGGGATTAGTGATTTTATAAGAGGAGACACCATAGAGCTTCCCTCTCTCTGCCACATGAGGAGATAGTGAGAAGGCAGCTTCTGCAATTCCGGAAGAAACGGAACCCTACCAGAATCTTGCGCTTTCTGGGCTCCAGAAATGAGAGAAAACAGATCCATTCTATGGTATTTGTTAGGGAAACCTGAACCAACTAAGACAATGACTTATTACTGACAAGTGGCCATGATATAGGGGCACCTGTGGGTATATAGCCAAGGACAGTGATGGTGAACCTATGACACGCGTGTCAGAGGTGACACGCGAACTCATTTTTTTGGTTGATTTTTCTTTGTTAAATGGCATTTAAATATATAAAATAAATATCAAAAATATAAGTCTTTGTTTTACTATGGTTGCAAATATCAAAAAATTTCTATATGTGACACGGCACCAGAGTTAAGTTAGGGTTTTTGAGAGAAACCAAGATGACGGCATAGGTAAACACCGGAGATTGCTGCCTCGAACAACCACTTCAAAAATACAACTAAAAGACGGAACGGACATCATCCAGAACCACAGGAAGGCTGGCTGAGTGGAAATTCTACAACTAGAAGGAAAGAGAAAAGCATACCGAGACTCAGAGGAGGCGCAGTACGGAAGTAAAATACTAAGGTGCGGAGTGCATGCGGAGCGGGCTGGCGGCTGAGGGCGCGGTTGTCGTTTTCAATCGGGAGGGAGTCTCGGGCTCTGAGCTCCAGTTCTGGGCGAGTCTCTAGGGACCCAGACTCATACGGGAGAAGCGGGACTGTCTGGCATCGGTCAGAACCCTAGGGCAGCTTTCTCTTCGAGGGGCTTGCAGCGATTACCGGGACACTGAGAAGCAGAGCCTCTGAGGGCAAGACTGAGAGCAGCCATAACTGCTAGCCCCACCCTGTTGATCCCGTGGGACCCGCCCCACCCAAGCCCTGCAGGGAAGTTTTTGCTGGATAGCCACAGGCAAAGGCTAGATTAGCACCTCCCTAGAGATCCAGGAGCCAGGAAGCCCAGAGGTCAGAGTGGGACCATCCAGTTTGCAGCTTCGTGGAACCATAAAAGACACACTCAGGGGGCAGACTCAGTGAGCACCAAAGCCCCATTGAAGCAAGTCTTGCCCCAGAGGGGTGTCTCCAGCACAGAAGTTCTCCCACTGCAGACACAGCTGATTCTCACAGCCAATTGGCCTGGAGGTCAATTCCTCCCAGTGATAACTACAACAATCAAGGCTTAATTACAACAAGACTGTGCACAAAGCCCACAAGGGGGTGCACCAAGAGTGTCTACCTCAGGTAATTGGGACACGTAGCACAGAAAGGCACTCTATTGACACAGCGAAGCATAAAAAATGCTGAGACAAAGAAACAGGACACAAACAATAGAAATGGAGGAAAGCAAACTGCTGCATATAGAGTTCAAAACCACACTTTTAAGATCTTTAAAGAACTGTCTAGAAGCCGCCGATAAATTTAATAAGGCCCTCTAAAAGACTGGTGAGACCGCCGATAAATGTAGTGAGATCTTCAAGAAGACTGGTGAGACCGCCGATAAATGTAGTGAGATCTTCAAGAAATCTAGTGAAACCCTCGATGTTGTGATAAAGAACCAACTAGAAATTAAGCATACACTGACTGAAATAAAGAATATTATACAGACTCCCAACAGCAGACCAGAGGAGCGCAAGAATCAAATCAAAGATTTGAAATGCGAAGAAGCAAAAAACACCCAACCGGAAAAGCAAAATGAAAAAAGAATCCAAAAATACGAAGATAGTGTAAGGAGCCTCTGGGACAGCTTCAAACGTACCAACATCCGAATTATAGGGGTGCCAGAAGAAGAGAGAGAGCAAGATATTGAAAACCTATTTGAAGAAATAATGACAGAAAACTTTCCCTACCTGGTGAAAGAAATAGACTTCCAAGTCCAGGAAGCACAGAGAACCCCAAACAAAAGGAATCCAAAGAGGACCACACCAAGACACATCATAATTAAAATGCCAAGAGCAAAGACAAAGAGAGAATCCTAAAAGCAGCAAGAGAAAGAAAATCAGTTACCTACAAGGGAGTACCCATACGAATGTCAGGGGATTTCTCAACAGAAACTTTGCAGGCCAGAAGGGAGTGGCAAGAAATATTCAAAGTGATGAATACCAAGAACCTACAACCAAGACTACTTTATCCAGCAAAACTATCATTCAGAAGTGAAGGCCAGATAAAGAGCTTCACAGATAAGAAAAAGCTAAAGGAGTTCATCACCACCAAACCAGTATTATATGAAATGCTGAAAGGTATCCTTTAAGAAGAGGAAGAAGAAAAAGGTAAAGATACAAATTATGAACAACAAATACACACCTATCAACAAGTGAATCTAAAAATCAAGTGAATAAATAATCTGATGAACTGGTGATTGTAATCGAATCAGGGACATAAAAAGGGAATAGACTGACTATTCTTGGTGGGGGGGGAAGGGGTGTGGGGGGTGCGGGAAGAGATTGGACAATAATCATGCACCTATGGATAAGGACAGTGGGCGGGGAGTGAGGGCGGAGGGTGGGGTGGGAACTGCGTGGAGGGGAGTTATGGTGGGAAAAAAGAGGAACCAATGTAATAATCTGAACAATAAAGATTTAATTTTAAAAAAAAAAGTTAGGGTTTTTCAAAATGCTGACACGCCAAGCTCAAAAGGTTCGCCATCACTGGCCAAGGAGGTAATTTGGGAAAGCAGGACCAATGAATCATTATATTTTCTCTTGTACACCATTCTGGCTAAAGAGTTACCTTTGTTTAAGCCTTCAGGAAGAGGAGTGCAAGCCTCCATTTATTTCATGACCTTGATCACTATTCTTCTGTTTCCACAGGAGTTCCCAGCCAATGGGCCATCATGTCACGGTGCCATCACTCACGAGAATCCCTCATGCGTTCCCTGACTGCCCTTGCAGGGGGTTCTAACCATCTTTGTTCTTTTTCAGCGCTGCCATTATAACTGTCTACATCAGTGTCTCCCTATCCCTCTGTGACTTACAAGGACCTGATTTGGAGGCCCATTTCCCATTTACTAGCAATATAACCTTGGGCAGTGCGTAATGAAAATTTAAGGATATAATATGTAGAAGATAACTGCACACTATGCTTGGTGAAATGCTCATTTGACATCCCAGAAGGAAGAGGACAGGTAGTGGTAATGTGTTACTGGGAGGTGGGCCTTCCTGGGGGTGGAGCAGGAACTCTGGAAGATAGTATAGGAGAGCCACCTGGCACCTCCCGCCTTCTGAGTGAGATTTCAGCCTAGTCATCACGGCCGTTCGTGGTGGACACTGCAGCATCTCCAGCAGCCTGGAGCATGTCTGCCACTGCTCTTGATTAAACAGCCAAAAGAGGATATTCACAACAAGCATTTTCTAGTTTTTGCCTAAAAGCAATAATTTTTTTTATTATTATTGCTACATCCCTTCCAATTGCTAGTGCTTTTAATGAACTACGATTGTAATGTTGTCCCAGGGTGATGGGGCTCTACAACTGAATAATATCCCCGGATCCTATTTCTTTTATTAAAAAACAAGTGGGACACAGGCTCATCTCATGAATTTTAATGTGATCAAGATCGCTGCCCACTGGAAAAATGTGTTCTCATTGAGTTGTGAAAAAGCGTGCCTGGCCACATCAAACAAAAGGAAATCAATAGCCTTCAAAGGATTAGAGTTCCCAGAGGTTGGGTGGGACAAGGGAGGTAATACTATTTTATCAAAATAGTTTTTTTGAAAAAAATTTTTTCAAAAATATCTCCTTCCCTATATAAGACAGGTTCAGTTAAACATTTTATTTTTCTTGTCAATGAAGTGTCAAAGTGATTTGACACTTCATTGTTGAGTGAATACTCGGTTTCAGTCTCATTACACACACTCTGCCAGCTTGCTTAATGATCAGCTAAGTATTTTCCTCAAAGACTTGGCATCTTCCTAAGTGGGAATTGGGCCAGGATATTTATTTAATCTTTATAGACTTAGTTCTCCCTCCCATCCAAGCCCTCTTCCCTCGCACTGCCACCAACCAAGTGACTCTGACATGCTTGGGTGCTCCATGCCCTTTGTCACATGCCCCTCCCAAAGGAGAAGTGGATCCCTGCCTCTTTTCTCTGTCCTCCCATCTTAGCATCAAGAAGAGATCCATGCAATTTACCTTGATTAGGGCCAAGGTAAAAAAAAAACAGCCAAGGTCAAAGTGAATTAGCAAATGCTCCCCATGTGATACAGGTAATACCGGGATACAGAAAACTGAGCAGGCACTTTCCCAGGACACAAGGTGAGGTACTTACACTGGGTTGATTGACGAGCACATCTCACCTTCCAATGGATACCAACCAGTAGCATTAGAGTGTGCAGAATCTTAATGTTATATACTATGCAAGTGGGATGCTTTATTAGCCTTGGCCTGTGACCTTGGGTGAGAAGCAAGTCAGAGAGGAGAGGACTATATGCACTTGCTCAATCAGGTATTGGTTAAGCACTGCCATGTGCCAGCTAGATGCTGCCAGATTTTCTAGAATGAAACCAAGTCACGGCCTCTACAAGGACAGGCTCTTGTGTACAAGACAATAATTATGCTCATTCCTCTTGACCACTAGACAGTAAGGCACAAATTACTAAAAGTTGTATTGGTCAAGTGACTGAACCCAGGATTACAGGCAGGAATTCCTTGCAGCCATTGATATGGTCTTTCTTTTCTCCTTTCCACCCCCTTCCCTCAGAGGAGAGCACAAATATATCCCCCACTACCACAAATTATGTACTCAAGTTTCCCACATTTGGGGAAGTCGCAGGGGTCAGCACATCCAAGTGCAATGGATAAGCCTCGCCTAGGAAAACCATCTTCATAATCATGGCATCTCCCTGGCCAGGTAAGTATGATGAAGTCTTTCTTTATTAGACATATTTTTAGCTAATTATTAGCATCAAATTACCCAATTCTCTGACACCCCACAAAAACATTTCCAACTAGCATCCTGCTCATAGAGAAAGGAAACAGTTTGAAAACCCAGTCAGGGATATGCAAACAAGAATGACAAGAAATGGCATGGAGTTCTGGGTACTACTATGGCAGGTTTTATGGACTAGAATTCCCAAACCACTCCCAACCCAATCCCCCACCTTCCTCTACTGTAGAGACTAGAAAGACACAATATTTTATTTTCTAGGCTCAATTTTGGCTAAAAGTGGTTATGCAACACAGTAGTAGCCAATAAATAAAAGAGAAACTGGGCAGAGTTTTCAGGGAAGGTTTTTAAAGGGACAGACTCAGCTAGTACAGCTCCTTATCCCATTGTCCTTCAGCCTTCTTCCTCACTCCTTCCCTTTCCTAAAACAGGTATGATACTAGGGGTTCAGCAGCCCTCTGGAGACCACAAAAATGAAAGCCACTTGCTAAGGATAGAGAGGAGGAAGATAAACAGACTGGGCCCGTGATGACATTTGGAATTGCTTTTACTTGTCCCGCATCATCTACTCCCTGAGATTTTGTTGCATGTGGCAGATAAACCCCTTACTCAAGTAAGCCTGTCAGTTACTTGCAGCTAAGAGCAATCCTAATGGATAAAGACATTTTGTGGCATGTGGCAAATAAACCCCTTACTTGAGTAAGTCCTGTCAGTTAGGTGTTCAGTTACTTGCAACTAAATGCAATCCTAATAGGTACACTTGACTCTGAGCAGTCAATTATGCTAGCTCAGCTCTGTTCTTCTGCCATTTATTCTACTGACTGGTGCTTGTGATGTTACTACTGCTGTGATATTAGACAAAAAAAAAAGGCTGTCTTTTGACAAACTTCCTGAAAATAGTGAATCTCAATGATTATTCCAACTTAGTTTGCTCTTAAATTCTAAAACCTCCATTGTTACCATTTCTTAACTTGCTGAGATAGAGTTTGTGATTTTTCTGGGTTTATTCTAAACCTCCTTTTCTTCCTAATACTCCACATCACTTTTGTAAAGAAAGCTTTTACAGTTTCCCCTGGAGACAGGCATAGGGGCCAATTCCATCTCCTCTTTCAATGACAAAGCTTAGGTATATTTAAAGACTACCTTCTACACAGAACTCTTTCCATAGGCAATGGTTTTCATTTGGAAGTCTTACAATGCACTCCACAAGTTAGTTGAAGGACAACAGCTCCTGCTAAGGGCCCATAAATATTTGATGGTCCAATCTTAACTTTTCCTAAAGAAAAAACCACTTTGTACAGTATCAAATGGTCCCTGAGGACTCTTCTGTCAGAATTGTTGGCTCTAGCCACTTTACTTATCATTTGTGGCATCCCACCTTCCCTTGAGGACCCCAACATCAATCAATAAGAAGCAATTTGTCAAACATACACCATGCAGCTTATTTGTAATTATCTTGAAACCAGTGTCCATATGCTACGCGTGTGGAAATGACTGAGAAGCACCATGGCTTAAGGCTGTAATGTCACCTCAGAGAGAAGGTAGACATTGCCCTGTGCTGCCCCCACCTCTCTAGAAATCACATCAGCAAACAGAAAGAGTAATAATAGCTAACAGGTACATCATACTACCATATGCCAGGCTGTTCTGAGTACTTTAAATATAATAACTAATATAAGGTAGGTACTATTATTATCCTTGTTATACAAGTGAAGAAACTGAGATACAGAAAAGCAAAGATACTAAAGGATAGAGCTGAAATCTGAAAGCAGGCAGAGAGTTCCAACATGCAAGTTTATATTTTACTGCCTGTGGTAGACAGATTCTAAGATGGGCCCCCATAGTCCTTGCCTCCTGGTGTTCATGTCCTTGTGTAGCCCGTTCCCCATGAATGTGGACTGGTCCTATGACTTGATTTAACCACTAGAACATGGCAAAGGTGACAGAATGTTGCTTCCAGGATTGTATCACATTTGGAACTGAGAATAGCTCTGGCCAACTACCAGCAAGGAATAGAAGCTGTCAGCCCAACAACCCTCCAGGAACTGAATTCTGCTGACACTACTTGAGAAAACTACTGGAAGAGAGCAGGTCAGTAAAGAGATGTACTTCATGTCCTTTTGAAACAACTTGCAACATCTTAAATAGTTTCTAAAAGATTTACTTTTAAGAATTATATGATTGTTGCTGTCTTGCAATATTATGTACAATGAGTGAGCATTTGGGATCTAAGAGATAAGAAAAAATTGACAACCCCGGATAAGGGAGAAGCTTAGGAATAAGTAACCCAGACCCAGAAAGGTGTTGGCTGGGGCAGAAGCAAGCATCTGAAAGTAGAACATCAGGGTGGAAGTGTGGGGTTAATGGGTCAGGCAGGCTGGATGAATGAAGTCACTGGTTCAGCATCTAGGGAGAAAGTCATTGGCTGGGGACAGGAAGACAGAGTATGCAACAAAGGAACAAACTGATCAGAATCACTGAATAATAAGCCCCACACACCAGCAGAAGCAAAGGCCTTGATGACTACAAGCTCCCCTTGGCCTCAGCTTAGTCCATGGAATTCACTTCAGGCCATATCAGGGAACGGTCCTCAAGTAAGGCTGGCTGAGAGTCTGATGGGAAAGAGAAATGAGAGCCCCTTACTGGAGAAGAGGTGATGGGACAGAAAGAAAGAGGACTATTAATATTTTGCCCACTGGCTCTGCTGTATTGCATCTGATTCACATGATGATCTTTATGGGCAGTTCTTCCCCAGAAAACATAGGATAGGAGTGGAAGAACCAATCATAGATGCCGAGTGCTGGAATGGATCTGGAGGTCATCTCCGCACATCATCGCAGTTGACAGACTATGAGAAAACTGAAACCTACAGAGGCTGGTAACACGCCCAAGCTCACAAAGCTAGTTAGTGGCAGTCTCAGCCAGGAAAGCCTTTCTCGATGCCGCCCTTGCCTATTAATCAATGGGGATTTGAGAGCCTGAGCACTCAGCTCTCTGCAGACAAGTGACACTGTGTAGTTAAGTGCTAAATTGCATGGACAGGCTGTAGCGCTGGAGGACTTCAGAAGATAAATGAAAGAGTGCTGGGGTAATTAGAGAAGACTCGGGGAGAAGGTTCAATGCAAGCCGGGCCATGAAGAATGACGAGCAGCCATGTATTTTCCTAAGCAAGTCTACATTTAATCAGAATCTCTGACCTCCTCCTCATCAAGACAAGGACCTTCAACACTTTAGCTTCTACCCAAACTCCCCCCACTTCTCACATCCATATGTTTGGCTTTTACAGTATGTACACGTGTTTTAAAATACAGGAAAAATTACCTTATTATTTCGACAGTCAATCCAACGTGTTTTAACAATGGAGTCAGCATTGCTTCTTCCTGAGGCACACATCATTCAGGGATTCTTTCAGGCAGGGTCTCCGAGAGTTAACACTCCCAGCCCTGTGTGTCCGCCAGGGTCTATTTTCCCCTCACCCCTGCATGATGCTTTACCTGGGGAAGGACTCCTAGCATTTATTCTTAGACCTGAATAGGCTGCCGTAGATCTCATGGCCACTCTTTTGTGGGTAGTGGGTCTTTTCTTGCTGCCTGCCTGAAAGATTTTTCTCTTTGTTCTCTATGTTCAGCAGTTTTATTATAACTATTATATCTTCACTTGGCTTGTTCCTCACTTCATTCAGGTCTCTGCCACCTCTTCAGAAAGACTTTCTTCAACCCTTCTCTAAAACAGTTCCTCTGACAGTATTTTACTCCGATTTGCTTGTCCTTCAAAGCACTTATATACACATGAATTTATATACATATATAATGTGTGCATGTATTATGTTGCATATGTGCTCCCCCACTGAATACCCCTAGAACAGTGTCTGACAGTGAGTTCCTTAATAAGTAGCTGCTGATAAATTATTGACTATACCTAGATGTGGGGTTTGTGGTTGTTAAATTTATACTGCTCAGCACTTGGTATTGAAGCTCTTTCAACCTTAACATCTTCATTCTGGAAACATTGGCTATTTCCTATGTTAAATGGTTTAGTCAGGATTCTCCAAAGGAACAGAACCAATAGGATATATATATATATATATATATATATATATATATATATAGAGAGAGAGATATATAGAGAGAGAGAGAGAGAGAGAGAGAGAGAGAGAGAGAGACTTTGATTTCAAGGAATTGGATCATGCAATTGTGGAGGCATAATTAAGTCCAAAATCTGCAGGATAGGTCAGCAGCCTGGAGACCCAGGGAAGAGTTACCATCCAAGTCCAAAGGTGCAGTGAAGGCAGAATTCCCTCCTCTTTAGGGACCTCAGTCTTTTTCTATAAAGGTCTTTAACTGATTGGATGAGGCCCACCCACATTATGGAGGGTAATTTGTTTTACTCAAAAATCTACTGACTTAAATGTTAATCTCATCTAAAATATACCTTCACAGAAACATATAGAATAACATTTCACTACTCTGGGCAGCAGGGCCTAAGTAAGTTGACACATAACCATGACCATCACAGACTCCCACCTCGGTAAAATTCTTTGTTTGTGCCACTCAGCCTAACTTCCATTTTGCGTGGATGTTTCTATGTGCACCCCAAGCTGCTCACTTCCTCTCGGTTCTCCAGTAGAGTTATTTAATGACCAATTATCTGGCTTCATGCAGGAATCCCAGTGCCCCACCAAGGGCAGGACAGGCCCTGCAGACTTTCCCAAGCAGCCCCTGATGTCCCTTGCCCACCACCGTATCTGGTCATGAGCCCTGATGACTTCAAAGTCCCCTCTCATCACCATGAGTTTACTCTATTCAGGTTCATAGAGGTTTTCCTCGTTTTTGAGTGGGGTTGTGTAATTTTAAAAATTTAAAGCAGGATTTCACCTTATACTGTTGGAGGAGAAGGTGGGAAACTGTGCACATGCTCACTCTGACATCTGACTGGGAGAAGGTGGGAATCGAGTAGGAAAGATGGGAAGCCA